TAGTGAGAGCTGAGAAGGATTCTGATGAGAAGTTGATCAGCAACTTATCAGAATGATTAAAAGATCAAAAGAACTGTTTTTCAAAGAAAGCATTAGATGAATTACCTCCTCTATGAAAGAATGTTGATTTTAAGATAAAGCTTCAGTTTGACACTGACCTCATTCAGAACATTGAACATGTGTCTTTATATAAGATGAATCTGGAGGAACTAGAAGCAATGAAGATCTATTTTGAAATCAATCTAGCAAAGAGCTTTGTCATTTCAAGTTCAGCCCTTTACACCTTCTCAATTCTAATTGCTCATAGTGGAAAGAAGCTACAATTCTGTGTTGAATTTCACAAGCTGAATGCTATGATCAAACAAGATCAGTATCTCTTGCCTCTAATAGATGAGCTGATGAACTGACTCAATGAAGCAAAATACTTTACAAAGTTGAACATTTAGCAGGGGTTCCATCACATCTGAATGGACTCTAAGTCAGAGGATCTGACCATCTTTAGAACTTACTACAGAATCTATAAATACTGAGTGGTCCTCTTCAGCCTTACAAATGCCTCTGTCTGCTTTTAATGATTTGTCAACAGTATCTTCTTTGACTATCTGAACAAGTTCATAACAGTATTCATGGATGACCTTCTAATCTACAGCAAGACTCTTGAAGAACATAAACAGCAAGTGAATCTGATTCTGAACTGATTAAAGACAGCAGACTTGCAAGCTAGCATCTGAAAATATGAGTTTGCTGTTCAGAGAACAAGATATCTGAGATTTATCATTATCATAGAGAGGATTGAGACAGACTCTGAGAAGACTGCTGTCATCACAAAGTGGCAGATTTCAATCACAGTAAAAGATATTCAATTATTTCTAGAATTTGACAACATCTATCAGCAATTTATAAGAAACTATAGCTGAATTGCAAAATCACTATACCAGTTGACAAAGAAGACAGTTCTATTCATATGGACATCAGAATATCAATCAGTCTTTGAGAAACTGAAGAAGCAGCTGATGGAGACTTCAATCCTACATTACTTTGACTCTGAACATGAAACCTGTATTGAGACTGATACCTCAGATGAAGTGATGACTGGGATACTGAGTCAAAGATTAAATGATAAACTTTGATATCTTGTGGTCTTCTACTTCAAGTCAATGAATGATGCAGAGCTCAACTATGAGATTCATGACAAGAAAATGCTTGCAGTCATTCAAGCATTGCAGAAGTGATGAGCTGAGCTTGAGAGACTACAATAGAAAGAATGATTCAAAGTTCTCACTGATCATCATGTACTGGAATACTTCATGACAATCAAGAAGCTGAATGCACATCAGATCTGCTGAGCAGAATTTCTTTCTCATTTCTATTTTGAGATTAAGTATTGATCAGATAAAGTCAATCTGCTAGCAGACATGCTGAGCAGATCTGAGCAGATTACAAAGCAACAGAACAGTCATATGCAGATTCTTTTAGAATCAAAGACTTTTGATTCTCAGATCACTCTCTCTATGAATATTGCTAGCATCAACTCCTCAGAGAAAGAGAACATTGCTGAATGCATAGTATCTTTAAACAAGACAGTCACCTCAATTGAGCCTCTGCAGCAGCAAGTAGAAGAGGAGAATAGCCTCTATACAATGAAGAATAATATGTTGCTCTACTATGAAAGATTGATAATATCTGTTCAGAAAGAAACTCTTATAGCTGCTCTGCTAAAGAAAATTCATGATCAGACCTCAACAGCACATTCAGAGAAACAGAAGACTCTGACTCTGATTCACTCTCACTATTGATGAATCATCTGGTGGGTGAATGTCTTACACTATGTTCAGAACTGTCATACATACTGAGTTAGTAAGATTTCAAGAGACAAAGCTCTCAGCCTGCTAAAGCCACTATCAATACCAGAACAGACATGGCAGCATATTGCAATAGACTTCATGAATGTGTCAAAGAGCAAAAGTGACTGTGATGTCATTCTAGTTATAATCTGTCAGTTAAGCAAGAAGACAATTTCAGTTTCTATCATCTGTGAAGTTACAGTCTATGAGCTGGCTTGATTATTCATTCAATTCTACTATTTCTATAATGAGGCACCAGACTTGATTGTCTTTGACCACAGCTCTTAGTTCATATCAAACTTCTGAAATGAGTTCACAGAAATTTTAGACATAAAGTTGAAACTCACAACAGCATATCATGCACAGATAGATGGATAGACAGAGACAACAAATCAGTATATTGTCACACATCTTCACTCATATGTTAATTACTATCAAAATGACTGGAATGAGTGATTACTCATTATAGATTATGCTTCTGCAGTCATCTCAAACATTTTCATTAAAATCTTTCTCTTTCTAGCTGTAAATGAATATGAGTCATGAACATCATTTGACTGAAGGTCTCTGTCAAAAGAACTAAGAACAAAGAAGAGAATAAATTGAAGAGCTGCTCAAAACTTTATTAAACAGATGAAAGAGATCTGGAAGTGAGCAGACAAGAGCATGAAGACAGCACAGAAACAGATGAAGAGACAGACTGATAGACATCATCAAAAACCTGACTTCACAGTGAGAGATTTTGTCTACTTGACATTGAAATCATATAGAATTGACTGATCAAGCTGTAAGCTGACAGCACAAAACACAAATCTCTTCAGAATTCTAGAGAGAGTGAGCAACATCTATAGACTGAATCTTTTCACAATCATGAAAATTTATTCAATCTTCTTTTCAGACAAGCTGTGCAAAGATTCAAAAGATTCTCTACCAGAGCAGACTGTCAAACCATCAGATTCAATTGAGATAAATGATGAAAATGAATGAGAAGTGAAGCATATATTAATCAGTTAAATAAATTAAGATAAACTGCAATATCAAGTCCATTGAAAGAGATTTGATGAGAACTCATCTTGATACCCAGCTCATGACTTCAAAGAATCATCACATGTCATATGCAACTTCTATGAAGCTAATTCTATAAAAGCCAGACTCTCAAAGTGACTAAATGAGTGGCTGAAGGCATGGGAGACAGACAGCTATCTGAAGAATGAGATTGATGACAATCTACCAGCATGAGAACATGTCTGTTTCTAGACTGAGAGGTGATGTTAGGCTCAGTGCTCAACTGAGTCTGATTGAGGCCTGATGCTCAGTTAGACTTGATGTCAGATTAAGCTCAGCATCTGATTAGACTAAATATTCTCATGTGATCAAATGATCATGTGAGTGGTTATAATCTGAGCAGGCCTCAGCACCTCTTTCATCTCATCAAGCTTAGTATTTTGTTATATAACAGTTAGCAATGCAGAGAGTTTTCTTCTTATGCAGCTCACATTCAGTCTCTAACAATTAAAGCTGCTGACTCTCAATCATTTAAACATATAGCATCACAGTATAGTATATATGAAACTATTGAACATATTACTCATATATACTCTTAGTGTGCAGAAAATTATTTTTAATATAATTTACTACTTTCTATATATAATTGTTGCTTAATTTAATTTGAAATACTTTAAGTGATGAAAGATTAATTGACTAAATGATCTGATCAACTAAATAATAAATTATATTATTATATTACTTATATTTATATTAAAAAATATTATTATCTACTTTTATATAATATTATTTATATTGCTGAAAAGATATATTATCATAAAATTGCAGTAAATAACTAGTATAAAATAAGAATTTAAATACAATAATATTATAAAAGTTATAATATTGAAAAAACTTTTCAGTAAGATAAGATCTGTGATTATTAAATAGTAGTAATTAAGAATTATTATTACTATTATTATTATTATTTATTATTTATAATATATTCAATCAGTAACTATAATATCTATCTAGTTAAAATTAGAATTTAACTATTTTATTAATTTAACTAATAAATAATAATTAATTTATATATTTATATAATTTTATCTTAGAATAATATAGTATTTAATAATTTTTTAATAAAAAATATATTTACAATTTCAATTTTAATTCAGTCTTTTTTTTAATATAAATAAAATAAAATAAAATAAAATAAAATAAAAACAATAAATTTAATATAAAAAAACTTAATAAAAATATTCTTGAAAATATTTTTAGCTTTTTTATAAATTAAATATCAAATTTATTTAATAATAAATTTTATTCTCTAAAGATAATTTTTATTTTCTCTATAAATTTAATTAAGAACTTTTTTTCTAATTTAATATTAAACAGAAGTAAAACTTAATTAATCTGCTTAAAATAGTCTTTAAAGTAGTTAAAATAATCTGCAATTTATCATTTTTAAGTAATTATAAATAAATTAATACTCTTTAATTTATTTTTATAATATTGATAAAATTAATTTACTCAATACCCTTTAACAGATTCTTTATTGAATTCAATCATCAAATTTCACACTATTTGAGATGTAGAAGCAAGACTGTGATCTGCTAGATGATTTATATACTGAATAAAAATTTCTTCTTATAAGTTAATTAATTTTTTATAATATTTTAATATTATATCAGATCTGCAAATCTGTTCATCTTTATATTACTGTGTCAATGTAGTCAGATTGGTTTTATATTTTAAAGCAATTTATTTATAATTTGGAAATTCTTGCAATTTTAAATCTTCAATTGCAAGCTGAATTGCAGCTTTGTTGATCATGCTGTTGAGGTTTGAAGTTGAAGAATTAGGGTGAAATTTATGAAATCATTGGGTGGCAGAAATCATTGGGTGGTCAATCACATTACTCACCGCCCAGTCTCATACATAAACCTTCCAATGTTCAACATCTCCTGTCTTGGAATCCTACTTGATTTGACTCTTGAGATATTAACCTAACATACATACCTATTGCAATTGACCAGGAGTTAGCATAGATAGCTCTCCACTCCCTCAGCTACCGCTGCCCATCACTGCAGTCCTCTTCGGACCATTCACTTTCACCCCGTTTCACGTCATTTCCCCTTATCTACCTTTCAACCACACCCATATCCAGCAATGGCTGGGGCTGACAACTCATATTCCCCTACTGACAGTTCGTTGGACAAGGCTAAAATCATCCCGAGAAAGACCATGTCCGGTATCGATGTTGTGGGGCACAATTTACCCCCTTCTCCAGCGCCCTCCAGCCCGAATGCTGGTAGGCGATATGCGCTGGCGACGGAGCTAGTATATACAGAAGGCAATGACCAGTTCAATTCGAGCAGCATGCCCATTTACCAGGTAAGAGATGCAGAACATGTTGTGTCTGTCTTTTTTGTTATGACCAGATTGTTGCTGTTTTTGTGGTGGGGTACCTATGTTACAATCTAAAATGCCCGCAACTTACATATTTTATATCTGTTAGAGCGCAACCTTCAAACAAACTTCTGGCTCTGGCGGTGGAGAATACGACTACACACGATCCGGAAACCCCACTCGAACACACCTAGAACGACACCTGGCCAAGATCATGTCCGCCGAACGAACCCTGGCGGTATCCTCCGGCATGGCAGCGTTGGATGTGATCACTCGCCTCCTCACGCCTGGTGATGAAGTCATTACCGGTGACGATTTATACGGTGGTACAAATCGGCTCCTGAAATACCTCTCCACGCATGGCGGCATCATCGTCCACCACGTCGATACCACCCGACCAGAGAAGGTGGCGGAAGTCTTGTCAGCAGCAACAAAGTTAGTATTACTGGAGACGCCTACAAATCCACTGATCAAGATTGTCGATATCCCTCAAGTTGCAGCATTGGCACATGAAGCAAACCCCGGCGCCCTTGTCGCAGTCGATAACACCATGCTCTCCCCACTCCTTCTCAACCCACTCAATCTGGGTGCCGACATCGTCTACGAGAGCGGAACAAAGTACCTGTCAGGTCACCACGACTTGATGGCTGGCGTAATCGCCGTCAACGACATATCCCTAGGCGAAAAATTATACTACCCCATCAACAGTTCTGGCTGCGGCTTATCTCCCTTTGACTCCTGGCTGCTCCTCCGTGGCGTCAAAACACTCAAAGTCCGCATGGAACAACAACAATCCAACGCGCAGCGCATCGCTGAGTTTCTCGAAGAACACGGCTTCCGTGTCAGATACCCGGGCCTCAAATCACATCCACAATACACACTTCATCACTCCATGGCCCGGGGGTCGGGGGCTGTGCTCTCCTTTGAGACAGGTGATGTTACGATCAGTGAGCGGATTGTGGAGAGTGCCAAGCTGTGGGCGATCAGTGTCAGCTTTGGATGTGTGAATAGTCTTATTAGTATGCCGTGTCGTATGAGCCATGCGAGCATCGATGCGAAGACGAGGAAGGAGAGGGATATGCCGGAGGATCTGATCCGGTTGTGTGTGGGGATCGAGGATGTGGATGACCTGATTGATGATCTGAGACGGGCGGTACGTTTATTTTATTTTATTTTATTCGCTCCTTTTTTTTTCATTAGTTTCTACTTCTTAATTTCAATATTTTTTTGGAGAAAAATGGCGTACTAACGTCAGCTTCATTCAATTGGAATATAGCTTGTTCAAGCTAGCGCCGTAAATCTATCCTTAGACGATTTCCAAGCCATAAGCCAACCCCCGGCCTAATCGTGAGATAGGTTTTCATTTACGATGAACCATGCCCCCTCCTCCCCCGTCTCCTTTCCCAAACAAGCCAACTTCAACTTTTGCTCTCGGATTTGGAGTTAATGATCTTCACACTTATGAACACCGACAATAATTGTACATATACACCCGACGACAAGGTCCCGGCGTTATTATTGTTTTGTTATTATGGTAATAAAGGAGGAACAAATCTCCTTGTATACATGTTATTTTGAATGAGACAAAATACAAAATGTATTGGAAGGAATTCTTGATTACATATCACATATCACATACCACATATCACTTAGTTATATTTCATGTTCCCTAGTCCATTCAAGCCCGTAGATGTATTAAAGAAACTTGTAAAATATACCAGTAAAGTATCTCTCGGCATACCAAGTACAGAACCCTCCCCTTTCCTCTGTCCTTGTCGTTAAACTCATTTAAAAAATATATATATAGAAGCTGGCCATTTACATACAAGTACTTCCCTTTCACACCGCATACCTAACGAGATGTATACGCCAATCCAATCACCCCAGTACATAACCACAGCAGTCCAAATTTTCCAATCTTTGAAAGAGGCCGGAATATAATGCCATTTGATGCTGTGCTCTGAGCCTGTGTCATCTGACAACCTGGCTGTAATAAATGCCCGCTCAGATGGAGTGAGGAGCCTGGCCAGTCCGGGGCTATCAGGAAGGATGAACCACACCAAAAAAGGAGCATGCGACTGGGACACGGCCCTCTAGAATAAAATCCTAGACATTGATAGCGTTAGAAGTAGCTCTTGATATCTGATGGTACATGCGTAAATACCATCGCCACCCTGCAAATTGCCCACTCCATCAATTTTCTGTATCCCAAATGCCAACAATCCTGATAATGCGCCAGAAAGGGATGCCGAAGCATAGAAGACGGCAATACGAGATTGGACCTCATATCTTCGATACCAGAGGGTTAGGAGAAAGGTAGCTGCTGAGAAGAATCCGGATAGAATTTCCTACTAGTAACATTTCGTTGAGCTGGCGCCTGGTGAGTTTGGGTTGAAACATACTTCTTTAACATTGAGGAAGAACCTGGCGACAACGAGCCCTCGATAATTTGCAACAATACCTATCAAACAAATGACGATATCTCGAGTATAAAAGTTCATCTAATAGTAACTTTCCTTTTTCTTTGAACTGACATCATCACTGTTCCTCAGCAAGTAACATCACCGATATCCATATTGACGGACGTAAAATGTTCAGTACAATGTTTATTGATAGTTCGAATAGCGCGTATGGAACAAAAAATACCGTCAAGGCGATATTGTATTGCATGCCCCGAAGCTGGAGATCGTCGTTCATGCCCGCGATTTTGATATTTGCGACTGTGATCGTGAAATTAGCATCGAATTGCCCATGGTTAGTCACACAAACATGATTAAATATGATTATGAGTAGAATTCTCCCATGAACAAATGTACGAAAGCAACCAGATTAATTTATCACTCACTGTTGCTTCTATCAATAAAATGACAAGAGATATAGCACTGCCGGCAAAGGACAAGTCGATGCTCGATTTTTCACAAAATCCGTGTGGTTTCTTCTTGACTGTATGGATCATGGTCCACCTCTCCTGTAACAACCTCGGCACTTCATGACCGTCCGAAGAAGACGAACCAACCGTGGCATTTTCATCTGCATGCTCGACCCTCATTTTCTCACTATACAGCAAGAGATATCTCTGGCTAAGCCATTAGGGATTGATCGATGATCAAGAGGCTGGTGGTGGGAAGAAATGGAAACAATGAACTAAAGAGATCCTGGTAAAACGCAGGTAGTAGAAGTGGGGAAGTGCCATGTTATGATGAATCACTCCTTCACTGGAGGTAAACACGGTAGATCTATGCGGTAAGGTAAGATCATCCTTGAAGAAAGGAAGCTATCATATACAGTTAGCCCAACGGCTCCAACTCCAGCAGGCGTCAATATCACCTTTCAGGGATCTCCAAAAGGATTTTAAAACTCCGCAACGATGCTCAAAGTTAATATAGGCCAAGGGCTGGCCAGTAAAATGATTGCTCCCCATTCCTGGTTATTGACAGGTGTCATTGATAGACCAGAGAGCACTGCCCGAAAAGACAAAGCATGCTTCTGCTGGTGCCAAAGCGAACAGCTCAGGCATGCGAAACTCCCTTACAAGCATTTACCCTCGGTAAAAACGAAATTCGCCATTGTTTGTCTGTGGGGAAAACGTGGGGCAGCGGGGAAGTTGGTGGATTAAAGAGGAACCTGAGAAACCCCCAATCTTGGGTTGACAGTCAATTAAGTGATTTTGACAAATTTCGCAGAGCAGTCTACTGCCCTTTTCGATTCAGGGAGGAGTGGGATCCATTGTTTTTTCTTCGATGGAAAAAAAATCACCGTTCTGCCAGCAACTGCTTCTTAAGACTCGGTTTTTCAAAGAAAGTTCATTAAATAGGTGTCGTAGTAAAATGAACAGAAATCAGGATATCCAACTATATGATATTCCCACCTTTTGAAGATTATGCGTTCTTGGTCTTGTAAGCAGAAGAGGTTCACAACGAACCTCAAGACGAGCGGGTGAGTTAGTCCTAAGGACGGACGCTTGTCGTCACACATCATTAAAGTCCATATAAATTTAACGGAGATAATGAGAAGAGCATGGATAATTGACTGCAATTCTGTCAGTCTTCCGCTGTATTATTGAAGGCATGCCGATCCCAGAAGCGGCGGTTCAAGCTGTTCCAGGAGCTGGAGAACTTGTCTCCACATATTGACTATAATGGTGGTAGAGATAGGACAGAAGCTCCAGTGTCAATCAATCACAGCCAAATCTCTCTGTCTGCTATTTAGTTAATACCAAGAGGATTGTCAATGTTGCTGTTGTTGAACCCTTGCGTAAGAAGTGAGATGATAACTAACTAGTTAACTATACTCTATGGCTTAGAAATGACATGCCCAAGAACAAAAGTTGCCGTCAGTTGGCTCGGCCTGAAATCGGAATAGCCCAAAAGGTTCAGCCTTGAGGTTCCGGCCAACTTGACATCATCAGAAATTCTCTTAGTTAATTCAAAAAAAGACAATATTACAACAATGGCATGGACAGAGCCAATGGGAGAGAATATGCGGTGCTTGACATGCGCCTTTTATGAATGTTTACTTTTAGATCCCCATTCGTTTGATATCGACAAATTGCATTCTTTTTCCACTAGCCACAGCGTCCTCCTGTTTTGTATTTGTCTAGGGAGCTTGAGCTAGCTCTTCTCGCCTCTCCTATATTAGTATTTTCCCTCTTTCTTTTTCTCTTTGGATTCATTCGCCTCGTCCGTGCGAATTGTTCCTACAGCATGTTCGCGCGAAAATGAGTCGTGAGGAGTCGACCACCCAGTTACCATCCCAGCGGGTTTCTGCGCCAACAATTCAAACACCGCAGCCCAGTGATTTCCCGAATTCGAGTTCGTTGTCCACAAGAAAATGGAATACAGACAGCTTAGGATCGAGATTGGCCGTAGATGCGGCCAGCGCAGCTGGAGCAGCTTCGTTGATATGTCCGCTGATCACTATTATTGACAAGTTAGTGGATAACTCTGTGTTATTTCCCTTAGATTACATCGGCGCAATTCTTTTAAACTTGCAAAAAACTGACATCTTTTTTAATCAATCTTTACAGATCTATTATAGAGAAAGCTGCGAAAGGAATTTTAATCTTGCAGAGTCTTAAATCATCACTTGTGGCGCTGGTCAAAAGGCCCCATAGTTTCTTTATCTCGACCCCTTTTCTGCTTATCTACACTCTGTACGGCTCCACCTACTTAACCGCCAATGTCATTGACACCGTGACGTCGACGATAAATGACCGTGCATTCAGCAACGTATGCGCGGGCCCGGCTAAATTTATTGCCACTGCTGCTGTCAATATGTCAATATGTGTTTACAAGGATGCCCGATTTGCGCGGATATTTGGTGCACAGGGCTCTTCCCCAGTTGATAAATCATCCCCAGCATCTCAGTCAGGAATGACCCAGCCAAACCGAAACCCCGTCTACTGCTACCCTTCCCCATCCAATGCGCCTGAATCTCTGCCAATCCCGAAACGCTCATTCGCCCTCTTCTGTCTCCGCGACAGCATGACTATATTCGCTTCCTTCAACCTCCCAACGCTCCTCTCGCCTCATATCCCCGATATCCTCGCTTCCACTCCATCCTCCAAGACAATGCTAGCACAGTTTTCCATTCCAGCGTCCGTCCAGCTATTCAGCACCCCTCTTCATTTACTAGGCTTGGATCTATACAATCGTCAACCCGAAGGTGGACTACTTGCAGCTGATAGATGGAGTCGGGTCAAGAGAGATTGGGCTCCAAGCTGTATCGCTCGAGTTGGAAGAATTGTGCCCGCTTATGGCTTTGGAGGTGTGGCTAATACGAAGTTCAGAGCGTCGTTAATGAAATCCTTAGAGTGAAAGAGTGCCGGGATATAGAAGGTTCTCAAAAATAATTGAATCAGGAACGGAAGCTCTGAAGCTGAACAACGCACAATCTACCAAAATTAGAACTACTTAAACGACTTGCCTGCCTGATTCTCGCTCTATCAACCAAGGATATTGCCTCCATCCCTTCTCCATCTCTAAAAATGTTTCGAACCCTCAACCTTTCATGCATTGAAATCAACGAGAAGCCCCCTTTCTTCAACTTTTTTGTATGAAGTAATACCCAATCAGTGCATTTTTTCCTTTTTAGCACAAATTTATGGGACATATCTTTCTGCACTAGCGGCTTTACTAACTAGGGTTTTGTCTTGTCATTGGATTTTGTCGGGAATTTGCTTTTATTTTATCCATTGTATACCTAGTTACATGATTACACATACAACTATAGATAAAACAAGATGGTTTGTATACCTGGAAAGACAGGGTTGTTGTTTCATTCTTTCTGTTTTATCTAGATTTTCTTTTTGTGTTTTATCTTTCTTTTCTTCCCAGATAGTTCGGGAGTTAATGTTTTGATTCCCCTATTCTTGACATTTTCGTTCTTGACAATTATTGCTGTGAACACTTGAAGGAATGCATAACTTTGGCTTATATTAGTACTCAGAAGGGTAGTATCTGTTTTACAACAACAAGCTTTACTTACTCTGTAAAGTAAGTTGCAGTAAATGAAATGAAATGCAAGATGAAGGGAAACTAAAGTTATTAAAGAAAGAAACAAATAAAAAGAGCAGAAAAAGGGATAAATCTTAAAATTTGCCCACACTCAGAATCGAACTGAGGATCTTATCATTACTAGTGATACGCTTTACCACTAAGCCACGCGGGCACATCTGCTGCATAGATCAGAAGGTATCTATTATTAGTCAACTGAATCATTGTAGAACACATTTCAAGTTATTCGTCAATTATAAATATATTAGTGTATTTATTAATTTTCTCAATATTATTTTTGTTGCAATTTTGACCGTTCTGCCCGCCCATATGTCTTGCGAGACCACATTTATATGGATATTACACGGACCAAGTTCGAAAAAAGGGAAGGAAAGCCTCCTATCCTCTCTAAAGAGTGCAAAGAGAGGGGAGATGCATTCCGCTTCACCTCCTTGTTGCTTGAAAATCTCCCTTTATCCATCATGGCATATATATTCGAATGTATGTACAGAATGCAAGTTAATGATATGTTGTGTGATAGTTTTGTTCCAGTCGATGATTTGTGTTGAGAAAGAAGACCAATGGAAAATTATCCACAACCTGGATCTGTAGAGTCAAAGTGTAATAATATAAGCCTGGGAAGTAACGGACACCAAATAAATGAGAGATAATGCCAAAAATGTTACGCAAAAGGGAGGGGGGATTCAAATCAAAATTACAATCAAGCCATCGAGGGGAGAGTATCCTTAAACCCATACTTCAGTTATTCCAGTCAACCTAGCTCACTCACTCAATCGCCCTTTTCCATTTCTGGTTTCTTGGGCTCGTTTTGGTGTTTCTTCTGCTCTTGGTACCGCATTAAATTAGAGAGGATCGCTGAGGATGTCTGACTCTCTTCCGCAGGCTGTGATGCAGCCTTTTCCCCTTCGATGACACGGAACGCACTCCGGAATGCCCCCTGAACCCCGTGTTCGACCGGTTTATCAAACATGTAGGGTAGGAAAGGGACAACCGCGAGACCAAGCTATATTTAGTATTACTTAGCAACTATCAAGGCCGGGATGTCATTTCGACAGCTCATTTCAATTTTATCACCACGAGCCATCTACGAAGGACATAAACCTACCCCGATTGGCACCCATGTCCGTATCAAAGTGATCTTCGCACCCTTCAAAGCGCGTCCAGAGTACTTCACCACAGAATGTATCGTTAAAGCGGGCAACCCCATACTAGCTATGACTTGAAAAACGGCGCGCTCCGCCATAACAGCGCGATAATCTTCACCAAGGGGTATCTTTGTCGTCAGCCAGGGCACAAGGGTATCCTCCTCTGGATCCGGCCAAGGCATGGGATGCGCCTTTGACGCAGTGGAGGTGAGGGTAGCCTCCTGCTGGTGTTCTAGCTTGCGTCCAGCGACGGCGTCGATTGCTAGATACTCAGGCACAGCCTCAGTCGCACTGTGATATGCGTTACATGCCGGAGCTAGCACACGTCTGTTCAGCAGATAGGCTTTGTATCCTTCATTGGCGACGTCTCCTATAACATAAGCCCAGGAGATGCCGTATGCAGAGCGCACGAGCCAAGGGTGAGCAACTGGCCGGAAGGATTCTCCAATGTCGGATGTATAAGCTACATAACGATGAGCGGAGAGTAGGATGGTGCGGATACGGTTGGTATATGCGACATATCGGTATTTAGTATCAGTGGAATCGGCGGCGCTAGATGGGAGGCCAGGTGTTAGGTAGGCTCTCTTGTAGCATTATCGCATATCCATACTAGCCATCATAGAGCTTATCCAGCAGCTCTTCTTCGCGGTTTACAAGCTTCTGCAGCTCCCGATTTAGTTTTAGATTAGGGGGAGCAAGGCCTTCGGGAGACGGTTTGTGCGGAGGGTTATCGCTATTATCATTAGGTTGGGGCTTTTTGCTGATGCCCCAAGCCATGATACGATTTTATGATGTAACTAATGCTGAAAATGCTCTGTGTAGTCCATTTGCCGACGCTGGTAGGGCTAACTATCTGCAGCTCTGCTTACGCTTGATGGCGCATATCCCAAGAATGGAATAAATAACAGTTGATATTTACTTCCATCAGTAGAGACAGAAAAACAGGAAGCGGAGTGGTGAGATACTTTGTTGGAGGCATAACACTGGTACCTAAGGAATAAGTGCCATATATTTCCATCCCCATGGAAAGAACCAAGTGCTATTTCAGTGTGGCAATATTTGGCACCTAGCATGGACCGGCGATTTCTGTTTCTGGTTCTACGCTAACCGTAAAAGGAGTAAGTGCCGTGTCAGGTGACCTCAAAAAGGACATTAAGCCTCCTAAAACAAAACACCCGGTCAAGTTGGTAACCAGCGTCAATTCATCAATTAGATTAACATCGATACATACCCTGGATTGAGCCCCTCAAACTCCAATTGCACTCCCCACTCCCGACTCGAATAGTAGCCGGTCTCACGTTCCCATAATGGTTGTCTACTACCAAATTGCCGGCCGCAAAGTCGGCTCCCATGTCGTAGGTCTCCCACTCTTTAACTTCCAACCATATTCAATATCAATTCATATGTAATGATCCATACCTCCTGATCTGGCTGCATATGTATTACTTGGAACAGCCACAACAGAAATGGGATATATGAGTTACACTTCAATTCGGAACATCGGACTGACTTGATAATCATCACAGCTCGCCATGGCTACCCTCGGGACTACATTTCTCGCCAGCTATCTCGCCATGCCATCCAAGGCAGACAAGCAAAAAGGACCACCAATTAAAGCTAGCAGCAAGGATGAGGAACAGTTTATCCAGTACGTGTGTATTTCTAAGTATATGTATAAGTATATGCGTACATATACACCCCAACTCAACGTTGCTCTATTTTTTTCTTTCTTCCCCCCCCCTTCCCCTCCACCCCCCCCCCCCCCAAAGTCAAACACCCCGCTTGCCTTCGTATCAGAAACCGCGGAGATAATGAAATGATAGATATTCTAACCTCTGAAAACGTAACACAGTGAATTCCTGAAAACCATGGACGCCGAGGAAAAGAAAGAGAAACATTAAACATTTTCCTGTCTTTTTATCTACCACTTTCTGTACGACATACACTTTTTGTCGCATTCTATACGTTAGAGTTCTATCCCTGAATACATTATTTTTTTCGCTGCTTATTCTTTGGATGAGTGAACGCACTTTTTACTCGTGTTCAGAAATAGAGAGATGTGTGTAGAAAGAAAATGAGATGGGGTTGGCTGGTAAATGGAAGCGGGAAAGGGGAAAAAGAGAACCGGGCCCGCCGGACATCACAATGCTATAAATCAAGAAAATAAACGAAAGACTTCTCCGATACAAATTTATTCGAGGGCTCGCATGCGGTCGTTGTCATTGCTAAGAACTACATCTGCAACCTGAGTGTATCAAATCTCCTGTGGAAAACTCGCTTGATATCCCGCTTGATCATTTACAATGCCACACTGCCACACCTTGCCTTTACTGAGCTTAACTTATTGCTTTTATGTTGAGGAAATATATCTTCGGTGTGATATAATGTTGGATGTTGTCCAATTTCATAGATACTTTGGCGGAGATTTGGTTTGTTCTCATCCCCATCTCCTTGCCCCTGCTCTATTTCCCATTCATGATATTTTCATGAGTAACTGGACATAAATACATGAAACATCTTGAAATCACAGATATTATTATAACAGTACTGGTCATAAAATTACAGACAGAATTTTCAACCAAATATTCTTTACAATGTGTATTCTGTGTGGAGATACTAATTACTATTGAGGTAGCACTTATTGATGTACTCGATGCACACACGGGATATCACATTAGGTATGAGGATCAAGATGGATATCAACAAGAAAAAAGAACACTCACTTAATTCATAACTCATAACAATTCTCGAAAAGAAAGGACATATCACGGCCTCAACTCCACCACCCCCTCAGACTTAACCGGCCTCCCAACCTTAACAAACCCCGTCTTCCCCACCAAATCCATCACAATACTAAACAACGTCGCCGTAGAACTCTTATCGGTCACCTCCCGGCAAATCGCAGTCGGATAGCCCTGTTCATCCTTCAATACATCCTCAAGAACCACAACACCCGGACTCACACCCGCAGCCAACTTCTCCGCCACCAGCTCCCTCACCCTCTTCAACCGCAGGGGGCTATCTTGCAAATACATAATCCCCTCCGTGCCCACGTGTGGGCGTATGAAATGGTTACTATGCGTGATGACACCGGGAGAATCATCATCGCCCATATCCAACTTTACAATGTCGTTAGCCGAGCACTCTAGCCCCACCCCGCCCGTCTGATGCGCGATGATAATATGGCAAGCAGCCGCGACACCGTGCCTTTCCAGTTTGGCAACCGCTTCGTCGCGAGAAGAACTATCCAACACTGCGCGTAGGGCGATGTGTGTAGGCAGTTTGGAGAAGTTTGTGCCGCGTGCCTTAATGGCGTTGAGGGTTACACCTACACCATAACTATTTAAACCGACCTTGCCGATTATACCTGCTTCAGTTATCATGTGGATTGTTGGTTTTTGCGGAGTAGATGCTGTTTGGCGAATGTTCATGGCGAGGAGGTTGAGAGATTGTTCACGCTCCCACTTAGTCAGGGGTTTGTAAGTTGGGGCTTTTAAGAGCTGCAGAGGGGATGAAGAAACTCACATCCCAATTTTGAGCAAGGAAACTGCCCTCCGTAGATTTCCAAGAGAGAGCGGTGCATCCATCGTTGAACATGCCGTATGCGATTTCCGTGCGCACGTCCAGGGCGAGAATGGATTCCACAGCCACATCAGCTCCTTTGGCAACGCCTGTGTGTTGGTTTTTTTGTCTTAGTTTCATTCAGTATTAACCAATATATGTACGGAGAAGTATCGCCGATGCCGTTTACTTTCATACGAAAGGAGTTTTATATATTTACCAGAAGGAAAGAAAACACACCTTGCATTTCTTGCATACATTCCGGGAACGAGGACTCCAGAAAGGGCACAAACTTTACTGCCGCCTCGCATACTTGCGGACAATCAATCAAGCATTTCCTCTTAAAGAGATCCTCGTAGAATTTTAGGCTTCCCCCTATCTGCTCCCGCGCTTGTTCACCATGTTGCAGCCCTATCTGTTGCGCTCAAGACATTCAGGTGTTAGGGTCTCTCGGTTTTATGGTTGCATAAAGATGTGTTTGATCGCATTTGTTGCATACCTCATAGGAACTTCCTTCACAAGATATAAGGCGCATTCTTGAGACGAGTGCAATGTGAATAGATGATATTAAAACGTTGCGTTGTTTGAAGATATATGGATGTGATGCGACAGAGTCTGGTACCTAGCGAATGTATACCACCCGATGAGCGGAGCAGGGTGATAAGACCGAGGTCGCCTGTCCCCTCATGCCTGTTTGCCGTAACTTTTGGCCACCAGGATAGCGCCCATGGTCTATAAATGCCTGGTTCAAGAATATCACTCACTATGACTGCAGTCAATTACATTGTTTTGATGAAGCTGAGCTTTGTGAATTTTGTCAAGAAAAACAGATCAAGCATCACATCAACAACATTGACCAGAAGAACAACAACAAGGTCTACAGACATCAGCTTATCAGTAAAGAGTTTGGTATAGGAAAAACAACAGTCAATCGCTCTCAGATCTGCAAGTTGTAAGTTATTTGTTGGCATGTAACTACTAGTTACACTGGTTCAAGACATAAGCAATGACAGCAGCCACCATGCTGACTTGAGATCTAGTCACACCCAGCTCCCCAATACAAACTTTCCGTATTAGAAATAAGTTTGATGATGATGACGATGAAAATGACATGGCGTAATCAGAGGTTGATTGTGTTCAGATTGGGTCCTTGTGTAGGAAACAGTCTATAGGGATGGCTTGGGTTTTGTTTGTGTTTGAGTGATGGAATCAGGCTCTCATGTTCACTATGCAATTGTGAAAAATGATCTTGTTCTTTTGAATATGAAGCAGGATATACCAACCGGGAGTGCGGAGGGTTTATCGACTCGTGCGTATGGTACCACATTCGGTAGCTTTCCCGCTCTATCATCGCGATCGATCCCGCAGAACACTCTTGCATTTAAACGGGGTGGTATCCACATCCAATAACCCAGTGCACATGTGCACATGCCCCGCTTCGCTTTTACAATTCGGAAGGAGCCAGTATAACTACCAGTCCTTGAACGAACTAATCCGCCGGTTTAACTTTCAGTCTGTTGACAAACTGCCAGCCACGACGACCGCACTGACAAATAAGCACGTAGAAGAACGACTCAAGATCATGCCTATAGGTATGGTCAAAATTAGGTAGCACCCCAATTACATTAACTAGTTAACTAGTTAATATAATTCCCAAGCAAGTGCAACACTCAAGTAAGTGCAAAATCAAAACCACAAGTGTTAGGGCGCGAATGCGAGCTGCATAAGAAGGAAACTCTCTGCGTTGCTAACTGCTATATAACGAAATACTAAGCTTGATGGGATGAAAGGGCCTGCCCGGGTTATAACAACCCGCATGGTCACGTGATGAGAGTTAGGCCTAATCAGGCGCCGGGCCTCGGTCAGGCTCAATCGGGCGCTTAGCCTAACAACCAGAGCTCAACTTATTAAATTTTAACTCAAATTATCTCAATGCTATAACACTCAATTAAATTAAATTAAATTACATGCAGTTGAGAACATCTTAATCTTGTATGTCTGAGGATATTACAATTGCTACAGTGTTGTAAAGCTTATCAGTATAAAGTAGATGCAAATAGTAAAAATTTATAAAATTAAATAACTAACTGTTTAACAGATACTGCAGACTGTGCAAATGCTGCAGATGAAGTGAGAAGATCTTGAACTTTTTCATTAATTAAATCTTCTACTTCTTGTTGAATATAATATTTAGATCTTTTGTGTTTTTACTTTTTTATTTTTTTTATATTGAATATATTCTAATATTACTTTTTTATAATAGTAATATTGATTATTTTATATTTACAGATTTTAACAATTTGATCAAAGTTTTTTACAAAGTATTGAGATTTGTTAGGGAGTAAATGCAAGCAGCATAAGGAAACTCTCTCTGCATTACTAACTACTATATAATAAAATACTAAGGTTGATGAGGAAAAAGAGGTGTTAGAGTCTGCTCAGATTATAAACAGCCTATAAGACCACATGACTGGATCACAACCAATCTGCTAGATTACATGTAAGCGTAGTCACGTGATGGAGATAAACCTAGCCTTAGTAAACCTAGCCCCAGTGCTAAGTCTAACATCATCTTTCAATGTATAAATGACAACATACACTCAGAGACATGACTACAAAACTAAGCAGCAGATGTCTTAATCAATCTTGATCACATCTCTATAAGCTCTCTCCCATCCTCTCAGACAGCAAGTCTGATGGTGTGTCAACATAGCACTGTCAGTGTGTCTGATCTCTTAACAACATCTAATGCATTCTGAGCTTTGACATACATTTGCTCTCTCATATACTGACCATTCAAGAGATCTCATCTCTTCATCTCAATCACTCACTGCACATATGAACTGAATGACATGAAGTCTTCAAGCTCCTCTACACCAGCAGACAGCTCAAAGAGCATAAATATTGCATTAATATATCTCAATCTATATAACTTAATGACTAGGGAGCTTTTAGCCGCCTATGAGACTAAGACATAGAAATCTCATGCAGAAGCACTAGCTGCTGCAAATATGCTTGATTGAATTGAAGAAGATTTAGATGACATGAAGACAAAAGATCTATCAAAAGCACTGACTTTTGAAGTTGTCATGAAGATATTAATCAAGAACTGATATAATGAAAGTCTAGAAACAGTGAAGTAGTTCATCACAATCAAATTTACTAACTTCACTGATGCAACTGATGCAAGAGCTTCTATCTATGCAAAGACAGTTGCAAATAGCACTAATGTAGCAAAAACACTAGCAATCATATCATAGAAATATCTGCTTAGAAATAACTTCAGAGAAGAAAAAATATCATGAATTCTCACATGTCTGTCTTCAAATCATCTAGTCTGCAAAGCAAGCTCAATTGCTATTTTTAAAAAGTTGAAGACTGAACTTTTAGAGTCTTTGACAGCAGTCATCACAGCAGTTCAAGTCATTCTCACTGGCATTGCTATTATTTCTAGAAGCTTATAAGACATGAAGACTCTGCTAGTTAAAAAGAATGATGTAGCAGCTGCTCTCATCAGTGCTTAGATAAAGAAGAAAGAATATTGAATTATTTATCTGATTTCTGAGCTGCTCATGAAGATTAATAACTATAATGATGAAACTCTGCATTTCTCAGCAGAATTTATGACAGAAGAATTTATACTTCAAATCAGAATTAAGTCTGTTCAGAGTTACTGAGTAAAAACACATTCTGAAAACTTAATAGTCACTATTATATTATATTTTTTACAAAATACAGCAGCAAATCTATCATCAAAAGTGAAATTATATGAATATTAAAGATCAGTAATCAGAAAAACATCTAAGATTAAAATACAATAATGCAGCAGATGCTGAGAATTTCATCAAAAGAGATACTGTTTTCATATCTCTCATTGTAAAAAATGCAGCTCTAAGAATCATATGAAAGAAAATCTGATCTATTATAAGAAGAATAAAATGTATGAATGTCTCAATAACTGCACTAACTATCTTGAATCACATGCTGTGAATGATCTATCCTGCTCTATCAAATCAGAAATAAAGAATGAAATTGTTCAAAGATATTCAAGAAATTAGCTAAGAGATATCTACAATGCACAGAATAAGACATACTTGATCAAGATAAATAACAGCAAATGCAGTGATCAAGATTCATCAGCAGATCTGAGAATGAATGACTATACTGAGTGTAGATTTAATCTCATAGTGACATCAAACACAGCATTAAGTATGATATCAAATATAGCATCAGATACAGCATTAGGCATGATGCTCAACTCAATATCTAATGCAATATTCAATATGACATCTTGTGCAACAACACTCTTCTTTCAGCTACTTATTGAAGAAGAACTCTAGATCTTCATAATTTCTGCAGATTATACAGATCAACATAAGAAAAAAGAGCTCAGCATATAAGATGAGTCTCAATCTAGCATTTGAAAGTAAGATTGATATTCTTCTCATGTAAAAACTCTGAATTCATAGAAATTTAAGCTGATATATCTCTAAAAAGCACTCAGCATTCAACTGCTTTACCTCAATTGAAAAGTGGAACAGAAAGTCACAGGTTCTTATCTATATGCATAAGTATTCACAAATCTATACTCATATAGTTCCAGGCCTCTGAGCAGAAAACTGGAACATTCATATACTGCACATATAGATCTAAAGTCTACAGCTTCAGATAGTCAACATATACAACATACTCTGAGATGCAAAAGATTCTGAACAAAATGTCAGCTATCTTTTCTTCTAATTCATCTCAGCAATTTCTTTACTTCTTGCTGATGATCTCAATATCAAACATTTTGTATGGCAACCAGAGGTGTCTTCAAGTATGTGAGTAAAATCATTCCTGCAATGAATTATTAATTTTAACTTTACTCTCATCATGGACTCAGACATCTCCATACATAGGCATAACATGCTAGATCTAGCCTGGGCCATCTTAAAATTAGTTATCAAAGAAATGGACACACAGATTGAGAGATCTCTTTACACTTCCTCTGATCATCAGACTCTTCTCATCAAAATCAATCTTTTATAAAATGCAAGGTCTGACAGATCACTTTATGATTTTTGTCTTGACATCATGAATGAAAAGGTCTTTAACCAGACACTGAAGGTCTATAAGTCAAAATTAGACAAACTATATGATATTTCAGAGTATCTCAGTATAGATCAGCTGAATGCTCTGACTCAAAGTATTACAAATGCACTAGTAGCTTCTCTGAAAACCTTCATCACAAAGAGCACTGGACAAGACACAGATCAGTCATGGTGAAATGAGAACTGTCAGAAAATGGTGACAATACTACATCAAGCACAGCATCTAAATTCTGGATTTTTACAAGAAGTAAAAGATAATATAATCAGAATCATCAGAAAAGTCAAAAGAGAATACTGATGAGATAAGATAGCAGAGACCTCAGCAGAAAAAAATATCTTTAAAATGATTAAATAAGCTTATTCAACTGATTTCTTTCATTCTCCTTCTCTTGTAGATGAAGAGACTGAGATAGTGTGAACAAGTTCTAAAGAGAAAAAAGAT